AAACACCGATACACATGCTCCACAGGGGAAGAGGAAAAGCGCAGGCGTGAGAAACGTTGCAGTAATCCAGCTTCTTCGTTTAAGTTCTGTCTTTGGTCAGGGACACTGTGGTTCTCTGAGACATTCCTTGTTGCTCCTACGTTTCTACAGTTGGGCTGTGCTGACTTTCAGTTTCGCAGATCACTGGAAGATGCCATGTAATCTCTCTAAGCCTCAGTCTATCATCTATAAAATGGGTGAAATGCTACCTGCCTTATCCATATCACAAGACTGTTATAGGGATCACTTTTTTTTTTTTTATTTTTTGAGACAGAATTTTGCTGTTGTTGCCCAGGCTAGAGTGCAATGACGTGATGTCAGCTCACCACAACCTCCGCCTCCTGGGTTCAAGCAATTCTCCTTCCTCAGCCTCCCGAGTAGTTGGGATTACAGGCATACACCACCCTGTCCAGCCAATTTTGTATTTTTTAGTAGAGATGGGATTTCTCCACGTTGATCAGGCTGGTCTTGAACTCCCAACCTCAGGTGATCGCCCGCCTCGGCCTCCCGAAGTGCTGGGATTACATGTGTGAGCCACTGCGCCCGGCCAGGGATCACATTTTTAAAGCTTTAAGTTAAAGTTCTTGATGAACTATCAAGGTTTAAACACATCTAGGGGATTCATCAGTGTGTTAAAGGGGAGCCCTAAAGGCTGGGGTGAAAACAACCCTGAGGGCAGGTAACTGTAAGAAGAGAATGTGCTGGTTTTCCCCTGATGGAGAATAAAAGTGAAAGCTTGAAACTCTAGAGATTAAGAGCAGAACCTGTCCCCTCACCATGAATATCTCATGATCTGTGTTCCCCTAGCCTCCAAGCCCCAGGCCCATCCCCCTGCCATCTCTCAGATCCTTAGAAGTGAGCAGTGAGAATCCACAGGGACAGGAATTGCCACTGTGTGCCAGGCTTGAGCTCCCCCACTGAAACCACTTATGGGACATGAAAGGCCCAACTCCAGGTGAAGGGTGACTCCCAGGGGCTGGCAGGAGAGGCAGGAAAGGGAAAGAGATGCAAGAGGACCAGATACAAAACACAAATCCCAGGGCACTATATCCCCACAGGTCCTTAAAAATCTGGACATCTCTGGAAACATGACTGAAATGGCACGATGCAGACTACATGCATCTTGGAACTGACTGTGGCCGATCCACCATCTCATGCCTCCACAATTCAGCCTCTCTGGAAACGCTCAGGCTCCTTGTGATACATTAGTCAAAGAGATGTGAGGGTCACAAGGACACCGTCTAGACCTGCATGTCCTGAGATTATAGCACATGCACACAGACTTACACACACACGCACGCATGCGCACACACACATACACATACAGAGCCTGGCTCCCATAGAGGCAGCACCTCAATGAAACTTGCACATTCCTAAAGTAAACCTGTGTACACAGCAAATAGACGAGGCTGGGAGGCAGTGGAGGGGTGGACTTACCTATGAAAAGACCAAGGAGGAGCAAGCACCATGGTAGAGAATGGGCCACAAAGTGCACCTGCAGAACTACTTGTCACATGGCAGCAGATGATGAACTATGCATGCGTAAATGTCAGCTTACTACCAGTTCCTGTTTTTAGTGTCACCACTTTAATCATGGGTGGTTTATGTGTCACAAGATATGAAGATGAGGGGACACAGAAGAAAGAAGGGTGAGAAACACCTGAACGAGCTACTTAAAAGCCAATGCTGGTGACATCACAGCCTTGCTTTAAACCCCTCAGGGGTCTACCACCCCCACAAGGCTAAAGTTGGGAGTCAAAATCCTTGTGGAGAAGGCCCTTCATGATTGGCTTGTGTCTTGCCAACCTACCTGGCTGCACTCTCTGTCACCAAGTCTCACAGCTTGGACTCCAGTCACCACAGACTGCTTCTAAAGCAGTCCCCTTAGGATTTCTCATTTTTGTAAATGCAGCTCTACTCCCTCAGGCCGTCTTACTGATTGGATTGCCCTAGTGTCTGCAATCTACCTCACCTACCTCACCCTAACACCCTCCTATTGCCCATCTCAAGTCATCACCACCTTGGGAAAGGCCTCCCTAAAGCCCCAGGCTAGGATGGTGCTAGGACATCCATTCCCTCTTGCTGTTGAACATCAGGCCTGTGGTTATGGGTCAGGACACTTGTACTACCAGCCTCCCAGTTCTCAGGCCTTCCAACTCAGGCTGGGACCTACACCATCAGCTTCCCTGGTCCTCCAGCTTGCAGTCACCAGGTCATGAGACCACTCAGCCTCCATAATCATGTGAGCCAATTCCTATTAAAAGAGAAAAAAGGAAATATATATGAGAAGATATATTTGTCTTCTCATCTAAGTGTAAAAAGCTTTGAGTTTGTCAAAATTCTATAGTCTTTCATATTCTTCCAATCCGTGGTAGCATATATATACTACAAGTCAATAAAACATTTAAAATAAAGTCCAAAAAAATGCAATTGTGTAAAATGCAAGGTTGTCTTAATTGCACAGTGAATGAAGGGTTGGTTGGAGGATGGTGGTGAAGCAACACAGCTGAGTTTGTGGTTGTGGCTGCCAGACCCAAATCTCAACCCAGGCTGGAGTTTGATGCCACCTGGAGGCAATGCCCAGTTGATGGGGGTGATTCTGGGCCTGTAGCTAGCTGGACTCCCAGGACAGTAGCAGGGATTTCAAAAATTTTCCAGTCAGTCACACCCATTTGCTGGGCTGGTTGAAGGACACTGAGAAGGAAAACACTGGAGATGCTGGGGCCAACATCACTGGATGTTGCTCCCTGATTCCCAATGCTAGTGCCTTTGCCTCCCTGTCCTGATGAGAATATTAGTCCTCCCCATGTGAGGACAGGGCACACTTAACAAATGCATCATACCAAAATTTATATTAATTTAGGTTTTACTATACTTAAATGATAATACTTAAATTGGATTTTGTGTATCACAAGACTGTGTCCTCCTATGGTCACAACTTCAAAGGAGGTCATTTCAGTGATGTTACTTTCCTAAATCTCAGTTTCCTCATCTCCAAAATGGGGATAATAAGAGTATAATCCAGATAGGGTTTATCTTAGAATTAAAGGAGAAAATATATGTAAAGTTCTAAACACAAAGCCTTACTCATAGTAATTACCCAATAAATGTTAGTGATGATTTTTAGTATTACCAATCTCTCTGAACTCCCTTCTGCCTTTGTCCTCACCTCCCACGCAGACTGTTCCTGCTCTCATGCTCTGTACCCAGACTCCTTCAATAGATTCCTCACTTGTCTTCTCATCCCCAGGCTCATCCATTCCACCCATTCTCTCTTCACTCTGCAACTCCAGGAAGCTTCCTACTCGTACTGTATCCTTGTTGCCTTTAGCTTGCTAACAGGATGCTTTATCTGGCCTCTGGTAACCTCTCCTGACCGTATGTCCTGCAGTCCCCTCTGGACAGCCCATGTTCTGGTCACAGGACCAAGACTAGAGTGAAACAAGACAGGCTCCTATTGCGCAAAATTTAAAGATTTTCGAGATTCTGTCACTTTCAAGATTGTGCAACATCGGATGGTGACCAGCCTGTAAAGATGCTTTCCATGGACAGAAGCCTATTATCCTAATGGTTCCTCTCTCTCTCCCTTCTTCCTTTGATCCCAGACTTCCTGAGTTCAAGTCCTTAATAACTATAAAACTTATAGTAAGCTATTTAAGCCCTCTCCACCTCTGTTTTCTCATTTATAGAATGGGGATGATAAAAGATATCTCATAAAACTATTGTAAGATCAAATGAGTGAATATGTTAAAGTGTCAGAAGACGGCCTAGCATTCTGTAAGCTTTCATCGAATATTAGCTAAGACTACACACTCTGCCAGCCTCAAGTTTTCCTACCAAGTCCCCTTAATGTTACAGCCAAAGTAAACCAATGACCTGAAGCCCGAAACACAAACTACAGCATAGCCAGCTATTACACTACTGACAAGAAGAAGGAGGAGAATAAAACAGTTTCCCAAGTCAGGATATAGGGAATCATGCCATTCTCCAACCTACCTTTTCAACTCAGTCACCTCTACACTGTCATATACAATGTCTACCCCCACTGCAGTCTCCCTGATGCCTTTGTCCATATAAAAAGTCCTTCATTGCATGTGACAGAAAGTTAGCACAAACTGCCTTGAGCAAAATAGGAAATGTATTGGGTCACTGTATTAGTTACCTGTTGCTGTGTAACAAATTGCTCCAAACTTCACAGCTAAAAGCAATAAGCATTTTTGATGAAAAATAAAAAATTGAAAAAAATTTTAAAAACCAAGCATTTATTATCTTACAGTTTCTCTGGATAAGGAATCTGGGCATGGCTTAGCTGGGTGCCTCTGGCTTAAGGTACTCACACAGCTAACGTCATGGTGTCAGCCAGGGTTGCAGTCATTTCAAGGCCCTCCTGGGGAGGATCCACTTCCAGTCTCACTCATGTGATTCTTGGCTGGCCTCAGTCCTAATGGACTGCTGGCCAGAGGAATCAGCTCCTTGCTGGGTGTTGGCCAGGGACCTCCCTCTGTTCTTTGTTTGGAACCCTCTCCCTAAAGTATTTCACAAAATAATACCTGGTAGGGAGACAGAGATAGTGGGAAAGAGGAGAAGGAAAGAGGGCAAGAGAAAGAGAGAGCATATGCACACACATGCTAACCTAAGATGGAAGTGACAGCTTTTTTGTAACCTGATCTCAGAAGTGACATCCCAGCACCTCTGCCACATTCTATTCACTTGAAGCAGGTCACTAAATCCAGGCCACACTCAAGAAGAGGTGATTACACAGAGGCATGAATGCCAGGAGGTAGAGATCTTTAGCAGTCACCTTAAGGAGCCAAATTTAGAACCCAAGTCCCTTGATGTCAAAGCAAGTGATGCTCCACATCAGTCACAAATGAGGCCCTGAATAGACTTGGGACCTTCACCTGCCTGTGCAGATGGGAGGAGTCTGTGGTGTTTCATATAAACAACCCTCCCTCTGAGACACACACACTTACACATACACACACACACACACACACGTATACACGTGCGGAAGCTGTGGTAAGTGCATCCTCCTTCAGTCGCAGATCTGAAAATAGATCATCATGGTGGCACCAAAGAGTTACACACAAGACTGGGCTCCTGGGCCTTTCTCCAGTAAGCCACAGAGGATTCAGCTGCAAATATTCTCTTCTGTTCTATGGACCTCTCTCCTCTTCCTGCTCATGGGTAAGTCCACTTTATGGCCACCACTTCTTGCAACTGGTGTTCTTCTGAGGCGGGTTGCATTCCCTGCCTGGGAGATTCTTTCCTTTTTTTCTTTTTTTTAACGGAGTCTTGCTCTGTCGCCAGGCCGGAGTGAAGTGGCGCAATCTTGGCTCACTGCAACCTCCGCCTCCTGGGTTCAAGCGATTCTCCTACCTCAGCCTCCCGAGTAGCTGGGATTACAGGCGTGCACCACCATGCCCAGCTAATCTTTGTATTTTTAGTAGAGGTGAGGTTTCACTGTGTTGGCCAGGGTGGTCTTGATCTCTTGACCTCGTGATCCGCCCACCTCAGCCTCCCAAAGTGCTGGGATTACAGGTGTGAGCCCAATTCTTGTTGGTAAAACCAGGAAACTCCTCGCCTTGCCAGAAATTACTCTGCATGTGTGCATACTCGTGTACCATGAAGGGGGTGGCATTCTAGCCCTGGTCTCAAATAACTCTGGGCTCAAACTACATTTCTCTCGCCCTCACACTTTCCTAAGAAATGCCAAGTATGTAATGAGTTTGTTCCTTGTATAGTGTGGATAAAACTCACAGAGGGATCCAGGAAAATCCCCTGATGAGAAGCCACCTAGCAATTCCTAGGGATGGAGATAACTTCTGGAGCTTCTTTCTACATATCCTGCCTTGGTTATCACATATGCTGGCTTTATTACTGAGGCTTCACTGGGGACCTGGAGGTGGCTGGGTGACCCTCGGCAAGGTGGTGTCTATCCTTTTGTCCTCAACCTTATTCCTCCCTATCAAGGCCCAACTCCTGGGAAACATCTCTCCGCTGCATGGCCCGGAACCCCACTGTCCAGCAGATAGAGCCAGTCTAGTACCCCAGAGAGGATCTCAGCCACCTGGGACTGTAGCAGCTACTGTCCTTCTGTGGTCCCACTTTGTCCAGGGCTTCAGGGATGATGGTGCAGGTAGCACTAGAGATCTGAGAGCAGTGGGAGTTGGCTGTTGGTGCCTGAGGGGAGCTCTAGAAACACTCCTAGATGTGGATATGGGTGAACAAGGAGCCTAGACCTCAGGGCTGAGGTCCAGTCTGACCTCTCTTCACTTTCAATTTTATCTTGGCTCATCAAAAAAACACAGAAAGGGGGAGAGGGGAGGGATTGCATTAGGAGTTATACCTGATGTAAATGACGAGTTGATGAGTGCTGACGAGTTGATGGGTGCAGCACAGCAACATGGCACAAGTATACATATGTAACAAACCTGCATGTTATGCGCATGTACCCTAGAACTTAAAGTATAATAAAAAGAAAAAAGAAAAAAAAACACAGAAAGCAGCAAAGCAGCAAGGCTGTTTATGTCTACATGCAACCTTTGGGATATTCCTTGATTGTGTTGAGCAAACCTGAAATAAGCTACATTCAAGGTCATCCAAGCCTCAAATGATCATTGCAGTGAATTTCAAACAGATCGGAGCAAAGACACATATCCTTCAGTCTGGCTCCACTGATTAGGATGACCTCAAATCTCACTCTTTTGATCTGAAAGGAGGATGCTTTTGTATCTCCGAAGAGTCGTTTCAGGAACTTAAAAGGCAGTCGAGTGAAAAGACCCCTCTCACTTTAGTATCAGGAACATCTAAAATTAAATATTGCTCCATCATTTATTAGTGGTGTGAGCCTCTATTTCTTAAGTGTCATAGTTAGTAGAATGCATCACGCAACACTCTTACAGATTGAAGATCTATACACACACACACACACACACACACATATATATATAGTGGCACATAGTTGGCAGAAGCTATGATTGTTATTATAATAATCAATTACTGTTATATGCATTCTTTGGAAACTATTAAAAAACAGGTGAGTCAAATTCAGTTATTGCAATCTTTGAACGCTCTTTTATGATTTATCCTATGGTGCAATTCAAATAAAATGGCTGGTACTGGGGACCTGTCACTGTACTGGGAGCTGCATTGCACTGTTTTCTGCAACAAGATTTGCCCTGTGAGGCCCACATCCTGTCCCCTCCACTGACAGTCTGTGAGGCTTTGTTTATGATTTTTGTCTGACGTAAGAAAATTTGAAGTCAAAACAAGTCATATACCCCCAGCCAAAACCCAGCAGCTTCTGAGCTTCCAGGATACAGATGGACACTACTCCTGGCCTCCCTACTCCAGGGGCATCATGGACATAGGATCTGGACTCTGTGACTGATCAACCCTGTAATCTCAGGGAAGTGGCTTAAATACTCTAAATATCAGCTCCTCATCTGTAAAAAGGGGCTAATTACAGTATAGTTATGAGAATTAAATGAAATAATTTACGTAAAGTACCTAATGCACACGTAGCAATCGTAAGCAGTGTCTTCCAGAAGAAAAGGGCTCTCTTTCAGAAAACCTCAAACCAGCCTCACATCAACTCAGCTTGAATCTGCCTAAAGAATCCACCTGACCTGACCTTCTCATGTCCAGTATCCCTAGCCCTGCATGCTCCATAGCTGCCTCTCCACAAGGTGCAAGTGCTTGACTGATGGAGGTCTAAGCAGAGAACCCCCATGACCTGCACCAAGCAGCCTCTCTCCTTCCTGTGTCTGCATATTCTGTAACTTCTGGGTTTTCAGAGCTTGCTTCCGCTTTCTTCCACCCCTCCAGGCTATACTTATGCTCCTTTTTTGTCTCTAACATTTTCTACTTATTTTCCCACCCAGAATTCCTGGTGGAGTCTGGGTCCCAAACCCATTTGATTTGGTCTAGAATTTCCAAAGTTCTCTCCAGAGCCTCAGAAGCCCTGGACTCTGGGAATCCAAGCTGGGGTCACCCAGAAGACACCCACAGGGTCCCTACAAGAAAATTAGCTGCCTTGGCCAAATACCAGCTTCCTAGATGCCTTGGTAACAATGTTTATCAGGAATATGATCTTGCCTAAGATAAGGAAATCAGGAACTGTATTGGTACCACCAGCTATTCCCACTCCCAAACCTGGCCAAGCCAAAGTCAATCTGAGATCCCATGGACAATGAAGGGAAAGATAGGGTGAGGCAGAGGTAGGAGAAGTTCCTTTAGTTCCTGACACTGCTATGTGAATTCTCAAACATTCAGAAAAGTTGGAGCATTTACACTGAACATTCGTATGCCTACTACCTAGGCTCTAACACAAATGTTTTACTTTGCTTGCTTTATCATTCACCTGTTCATCTAACCATCCCTCTACACACCTATATTTTTAAAAATATGCTCCTTTTTACTTCATTGGCTCTTCACAATTTGCAGCAAACTGCTTTCATTTAATTTTTATCATATCCCTTGAAGAAAGTGGTGCAGGTATGAGCATTTAAATCCTTTAGATAAGTAAACTGATTCACTGAAAAATTCAGAAATGTACCCAAAGTCACAAGGCTAATTCCCCTACTGGAACAGAAACCCAGAAGATCTGTTTCACAGATTGTTGTGGCTACTTTTAAGGGAGACAGTGTTTGGAGAATGGAGGAATTAATGACTTTGCTAGGCAATGGACCTAGAAGAAGGAGGACAACAATCTCATTTCATTTCTCAGCATCTGACATTTATGCCCAATGTATATTCACAGAGTGAAAGAAAGAAGGCTAGCTCAAGGAGTCTAGCTGCTCCTGCAAGTCCCTTTTCTATCTCTGCAGGACTAAGAGCCTCTGGAAAGGACTCAGCCCCAACAATGGTGTCAGGGATCCTAGGGGGTTCTGTGACTCTCCCCCTAAACATCTCAGTAGACACAGCGATTGAGCATGTCATCTGGATTGGTCCCAAAAAGGCTCTTGCTTTTGCACGTCCCAAAGAAAATGTAACCTTTATGGCCAAAAGCTACCAGGGCCAACTAAACATCGCCAGGGGGAGTTACTCCCTGTCCATCAGCAATCTGACTCTGAATGATGCAGGATCCTACAAAGCCCAGATAAACCAAAGGAATTTTGAAGTCACCACTGAGGAGGAATTCACCCTGTTCATCTATTGTGAGTTCCAGAGAGCTTCTGTGTTTTGATCTTTTCTTTTTTTTTATTTGTGCAAATTTATGGGGTATGCGTGAAATTTTGTTATATGTATATAGTGCATACTGATCAAGTCAGAGTTTTCAGTGTGTCTACTGCCTGAGTACAATACATTCTTGTTAAGTATAGTCACCCTACTCTGCTATCAAAAATTGAATTGATTCTTTCTATCTTACTGTATGTTTGTACCCTTTAACCCGCTTCTCTTCATCATCCCCCCACCACCCACTCCCTACACTCACCCTTCTCAGTCTCTGCTATCTATCTTTCCACCATCTACCTCCACATGATCAAAATTTTTAGTACCCACATATAAGTGAGAACATGGCGATATGTGTCTTTTTGTGCCTGGCTTATTTCGCTTAAGATAATGACCTCCAGTTTCAGCCACATTGCTGCAAAAGACATGATTCATTCTTTTTTACGGATTTTTAAATTGTTTAAATATATTTAGAGGGTACAAGTGTAGATTTATTGCATGCATATATTGCATGCTGAGGAAGTCTGGGCTTTTAGTGCACCCATCACCCAAAGAGTGACCTTTGTACTCAATAGATAATTTTTCAACCCTCACTGCTCTCCCACCCTCCCACCTTTTGTAGTCTCCACTATCCATTAGTCCTACTCTGTATGTCCATGTGTCCTACTCTGTATGTCCCTGTGTACCCATTGCTTCCACTTATAGGCGAGAACATGTGGTATTTCACTTTCTGTTTCTGAGTTATTTTAGCTGGATAATGGCCTCCAGTTTCATCCAGGGTGCTGCAAAAGACATGACTTCATCCTTTTATGGCTGATTAGCATTCCATGATGTGTATAAATATATGTGTGTATGTGTGTACTGCATTTTCTTTATCCATTCTTCCATAAGGGACACAGATTAATTCTATATCTTTGCTATTGAGAATAGTGCTGCAATAAACATACAAATGCCGGTATTCCTTGCATATATCAATTTCTTTTCTTTGCCTTTGGGTAGATATCCAGTAGTGGTATTACTGGATCAAGTGCTAATTAAATGTTTAGTTTTTTGAGAAATCTTCATATTGTTTTTCATAGTGGCTGTACTAGTTTCCATCCCCACCAAGAGTGTCTAAGGGTTCCCCTTTTCTCCACTTCCTGCCAACATGTGGTTAGTGTTTAAATAATAGCCATTCTGACTGGAGTGAGATAATATCTCATTGTGATTTTGATTTGTTTCTCTGATAATTGGTGATATTGAGCATTTTTTAATACATCTGTTGGTCATGTGTATGTCTTCTTTTGAGAAATATCTATTTATATCCTTTGCCCACTTTTTAATGGAATTATTTGTTTTTTCTTGTTGAGTTATTTGAGTTCCTTGTATATTCTGGATATTAGTTCCCTGTCAGATGAATAGTTTACAAATATTTCTGCCATTCAACAGGTTGTCTCTTCACTCTGTTGATTATTTCTTTTGCTGTGCAAAAGCTTTTTAGTTTAAATCCCGTTTGTCTATTTTTGTTTTTGTTGCCTGTGCTTTTGAGGTCTTAGTCATAAATTATTTGTCCAGACCAATGTCCAGGAGAGTTTTCCCTAGGTTTTCTTCTAGTATTTTTATAGCTTCAGGTCTTACATTTAAGTCTTTAACTGATTTTGAGGAGTTTTTTTTTATATGATGAGAAATAGGGGTTCAACTTCATTCTTCTGCATGTGACTATTCAATTTTCCCAGCACCATTTATTGAAAAGGTGTCCGTCCACGTCATCGAGGGTGACCACTGCACGCTCCTGGAGGGCAGCGGCCTGGAGTCCATCATCGGCACCCTGGCTGAGCCACACACGTGTGAGCGTGCGGGAGGGCTAGGCCTGCGCCCCCAACTGCCACTGGAGACCGCTCCGCCATCCCTACCTCACCGCGGCGCAGCGGGGGCTGGAAGAGTCCTGCCGATGGAACCCTGCCCTGCCCAGGGCCGCTGCCCCCCAAGGCTGCTAGACGTAGGCATTAGGCGTATTCCACCCACCCGCTGCCTCCCATGGCACCTCGGGGACACCAGAGCCCAGCTTGGAGACTTCTGGTCTGTGAAGAGCCGGCGACGCCCGCAGGAACCGGGCTGGGCCTTGTGTGCTTGTGGGGTTTGCGCTTGGTCTTTCTCTGCTTGTATTTGCATATTTATTGCATTGCTGGTAGAGACCTCCAGGCCTGTCCACCCTGCAAAGACTCCTCGGGCAGCATGCTGGTCCCGCACACTGCACCCATTTCTCCAATGTCCCCTGCAGGCGCAGGTGGCCACCCAGGCCTGCTGGCTGCGGCCCCCTCTCAGCCAGGCCAGGCTCAGCCCACTGTGTGGGAGGTCACCAGCCAGTCCCGAGGAGCCGGGACCCCCGGGATGCAGGCCCACAGTGCCGGGCTGCATCCATGATGCGGAGCTGGCCTCCAGCCCTGCGGACAGCCCAGGGCACCAACTCAGTGTTTGTCAGTGTTTCTTTTTCCAAGAAATGATTCAAATTGCTGCTCGGATTTTTAAATTTACTGTAGCTGTCAGTGTACACGTCTGGATCCCGTTTCATTTTTACACCAATTTGGTAAAAATGCTGCTCTTCTCAGCCTCCCCACAATTAAACTGCACGTGGTCTCTTAAAAAAAAAACAAAAAACAAAACAAAACAAAAAAAGTATCTTTTCTCCCCAAAGTAAGTTTTTGTTGGATTTGTCAAAGATCACTTGGCTGTAAATCTGTGGCTTTATTTCTGTGTTCTCTATTCTGTTCCATTGGTCTATGTGTCTATTTTTATAATACCATGCTGTTTTGGTTACTATAGCCTTATGCTATATATTGAAGTCAAGTAAAGTGATGCCTCTAGCTTTGTTCTTTTTGCTTAGCATTGCTTTGACTCTTCAGGCTCTTTTGTGGTTCCGTATATATTTTAGGATTTTTTTTTTCTGGCCAGGTGCAGTGGTTCATACCTGTAATCCCAACACTTTGGGAAGCTGAGGCAGGCAGATCTCTTGAGGTTAGAAGTTCGACACCAGCCTGACTAGCATGGTGAAACCCCATCTCTACTAAAAATACAAAAATTAGCCAGGGGTGGTGATAGGCACCTGTAATCCCAGCTACTTGCGAGTCTGAGGCAGGAGAATCACTTTAATCTGGGAAGCAGAGATTGCAGTGAGCCAAGATCACGCCACTGAATGCCAGCCTGAGTGACAGAGTGAAAACCGTGTCTAAAAAAAATTTTTTTTTAGAAAGAAGGATTGTTTTTTGTAATCTGAGAAGAATAAGGTTGGTATTTTGATACAGATTGCATTGAATCTGTAGATTCTTTGGGCAATATGGTCATTTTAACAATATGGATTCTTCTGATCCATGAGCATGGGATATTTCTCCATTTGTTTGTGTCATCTATGATTTTTTCATCAGTGTTTTGTAGTTTGCCTTGTAGAGATCTTTCACCTCCTTGGTTATATTTATTCCTAGGGTTTTTAATAGCTGTTGTAAATGGGATTGACTTCTTTCTTTCTTTCTTGATTAAATCATTATTTGTGTATAGAAATGCTACTAGTTTTTGTACATTGATTTCTGTCCTGCAACTTTACTGAATTCATTTATCAAATCTAAGAGTTTTTTGGTGGAGTCTTTAGGTTTCTCTAGATATAAGATCATATCATCAGGCTGGGCATGGTGGCTTACACCTGTAATCCTAGCACTTTGGGAGACCAAGGCAGGTGGATTGCTTGAGCTTGGAAGTTCAAGACCAGCCTGGACAACATGGAAAAAACCCATCTCTACAAAAAAAATACAAAAATTAGCTGGGCATGGTGGCATGTGCCTGTAGTACCAGCTACTCTGGAGGGTGAGGTGGGAGGATTGCTTGAATCCCGGGAGGTTGAGGCTGCAGTGAGTCATGACTATGCCACTGCACTACAGCCTGGGTGACAAAATGACACCCTGTCAAAAAAAAAAAAAATTATACCATCAGCAAAGAGGAACAATTTGTCTTTCTCTTTTCCACTTTGAATGTTTTTTATTTATTTTGCCTGGTTTCTCTGACTAGAGAAACCATAGAGTACTATGTTGAATAAAAGTAGTGAACGGGGTATCCTTATCTTGTTCCAGTTCTTAGAAGAAAGGCTTTCAGCTTTTCCCCATTTGGTACAATATTAATTGTGGAATTGTCATATATGGGCTTTATTATTTTGAGATATATTGCTTCTATGCCTGTTGTGTTGAGAAATTTTTTCGTGAAGGGATTTGGACTGTATCAAGTGCTCTTTCTATGACCATTGAGATGATCATATGGTTTTTGTCCTTCAGTCTATTGATGAGATGTATCACATTTATTGATTTACATATGTTAAACCATCCTTGCATCCCTGGGATAAATCCCACTTGATCATGTATTATCTTTTTGATGTGCTGTTGGATTCTGTTAGCTAGTATTTTGTTGATGATTGTTTCTTCTATGTTCATCGGGGATGTTGGCCTGTAGTTTTCTTTTTGTTATTGTTGCATCCTTGTCTGATTTTGCTATCAGCATGATGCTGGCCTCACAGAATGAGTTAAGGAAAATTCCCCCCGCTTTGATTTTTAAGAATAGTTTCAGGAGGATTGATATTAGTTATTCTTTGTATATTTGGTAGAATTTGGCTGTGAATCCATCAGTCTTGGGCTTTTCTCTGTTGGTAGACTTTTTTATTACAGATTAATTTCACTACTTGTCATTGAGGTCTGTTCAGGTTTTCTATTTTTTACTTATTCAGTCTTGTTAGGTTGTATGTTTCTAGAAATTTGTCAGTTTTCTCTAGGTTTTTCAGTTTGTTAGAGTATAGTTGTTCATAATAGTCTCTGGCGATCTTTTGTATTTCTGTAATATCAGTTGTAATGTCTCCACTTTTTCTGATTTTGTTTATTTGGGTCTTCTCTCTTCTTTTCTTAATTAGCCTAGCTAGCAGTTTATTAATTTTGTCTGTCTTTTCAAAGAGCTAACTTTTTGTTTCATTGAT